AGGTACCCACATTATTCACTATAACTATCAGGTGGCATTGTCTTTCTCACTGGGTTGTCAGGTAGAACACCCTATAAACTCTAAAGGTCTATTGAAAGGTGAACTATTATTCTCCTTGCAATTATTTTTCATCTTGTTTTATCCATTTTCCCAGTACTGCCCAAGTTTTGTGCTGATACTCCCACAATGTTAAAAGGCATAAGTGTCTAAACCTATAGGGCTCTAGAACAATATACAGATTTTTAAGGAGTTTATAAGCATCATGGTGGATAAGATATGGATGGGTTGTGATCCTTCTTATTTGGTGGAATACCCAAATTCATGACATTGTAGATCCACTAAAATTGTCAATAAATTATGAGTCTGGGGATAGCTTTAGCCTTCAGCAACTGTGAGCTCTGCAAAACTACCCTAGGACTTAGTGATGGCAAAAGTACATGGCAAAAGGATGACTGTTTTGGTCATGACTCTACTCATCTAGGGAAGGCAACAAGTATTTATTAAGCACTTATTATGTACCAAGTGCTGATCTAAGTGCTGGGGATAAAGATGTGAACAAAAAGAAAACCAAGGAGCTTGTATTCTACTGAGGAAAGACAACAGAAAAAAAAAGCCAAGAAGGGGGAGAGGTAGCTGCATAGGGTCAAAGTTCAGAAAGTCAGAAGCAGAGCCAGAAGGGGAATGAACATTGGTCAGCTTGGGCCTTTCCAAAAATGAATTGAATCAGCATAAAGAGATTAGATGGTTGATTTTCTCTTAGTTAATTTTTAATGGTTTATTCTCACAGAAACCAAGATATTTTTGATACTCTGAAGATTTGTCTTGGTGTCTACCTGCTGAGACAGCTGAATAAAAGCAAATATATCTTCATCTTTGTATAGACTAGTCAACTGTCATTACATACATGAATGGAGGGGAGCAGTGATGTGGATAATTAAAAATGGCAGATAATTAAACACATTCATTTGACTTTGTGATATGTTTTGTACATACCTTTATTGTATCTGTATGCATAGTACTCTCAATGAATGAAACTATAGCAAAGAGGTATGTCTTAAGAGGAATTGGAAAGCTGTAGAATTTGCCTAGTCTCTATTTTGCTGATCAGCCTCGATTACCTCAAGCCTAGAATGGGCAGCATTGTATCTCATACTGACACAGACCACTGATCTAGGCAATGTTAATATTTCCTTCTCTTCTTTTCTCCTTCTCTTTCTTCTCCAACTGCAAGAGAGCTGTGAGATCAGGAAAATAGTCATTGTTACATTAACCCTAATGAAGGCTGGAGCCTCTTTCCTACCCTAAGGTAGCTTATGAGAATGGAGATAGTTGAGAAGTTGAGACCTCTGGGCTGGTATTACCTAAACAGGTAATACCTAAACTATGATTATAGAAGTGAGTATGTGTCTGAGGCCAGATTTGAACTCAGGTCCTCCTGACTCCAAGGCCAGTGCTCTATCCACTGTGCCATCAGCTGCCCCAGAACTGAGTATTTTGATAGGGGTAGAGAGCAAGAGAGCAAGGCTCATTGGGTTAGAAGAACACATCTGTGGGGTGCTGGCTTCCTTGGCTGTCCAGCCTTCCTTGTGTAGTATTTTCCCTTGAGGGACATCATTTGCATTGGGCTATAGTTTAAAGTATTTGAGGACTTGGGCATAGAACATACTAAAGAGGTGAACAGGGATAATGGATGCAAGGTCAGTGACAGCTGTCTTTGATAACACTGCCAAATTCATTTCCTATTCTCTCAGGTATGCTGGTATTAGAGGTGTCAAGATCCTGCCAGTCAGTGGTCTGGGGACCCTTACAATGAACAAAAGCAAGTGATATCCCACTGTTTCAGACAAGGGACTCTTCCCAGGAATCAAATTCTTCCAGGAACAAATAGACATGATGCAGCTTTCTTCATCTAATCCTGAATAGGCAGCCTCTATCCGATGTTAGGAAAGCAGGGCAGTTGAACTCTGGGATCAAACATGGAGCAGCTACTGCTAATATCTTTATCTGACATTCATGATATTTATTAGTCATAGAATGCACCAAAGGACTGAGTACTGATGACTTTGGGTCACATGGTCAAAAGCAATGCTGGTTGTTGGAAGGATTAGAAGAACAGGGTTTTTTCTTTTCTTTTCTTTTTTTTACCTGTTTTGTGTCATGAAACTTTTTTGGCACTCAGATGAAGCTTATGGAGCAATTCTCATCTATCCTTTAGTCATTGAATGGGCATTGCCTCAGACAAACTGAGGCCTGGGACAGATCTTAATTTAGAAAGGCCAAGGTCATCCAGTGTATCCCGGGCCATGGCCAGTCATTTTGACTTTTGTCTTGCCACTATACTCCATTGACTCTGGAAGAGAGAGTGAACTGACAACTTTGACAAATTCCTTCTCACCATAATGTCTTCAAATGCATAAAATAAAATGCATAGGATTACAAAGGAAACCAATTATATTCTACATAAAGCTATATTTTTTTCCCATCCAAATTCATGGACCCCTGAATTCTATCCACTGAATGCTTGGGGCCATATACTTCAGGTTAAGAATAATAATAAAAACTAACATTTAAAAATGTTGTAAGGTTTACAAAGTACTTTACAAGTGTTATAATTTTATCCTCCTAGCAACCCTAGGAGATAGGTGCTATTATTATCATCCCCCTTTTTTCCAGATGAGGAAACTGAGAGAGAAATTAAATGACTGGTCCTGGGTCACATACAGGTAGTAAGAGTCTGAGTCTGGATTTGAACTTAGGTCTTTCTGACAGTAGGTCCAGGGCTTTATCCATTATGCCACTTAGCTAGACATGTTTTTGTTGGACATCTCAAGCCTCTTGAAGATAGTTGTTCTCTGAGATACCACTTCACACCTATCAGGAAAATGATAAATGTTTGAGAGAATGTGGGAAAATTGGAAAAATTCACTGTTGGTGGAGTTGTGAACTGATCTAACCATTCTGGAGAGCAATTTAGAAGTATGCCCAAAGGGAAATCAAACTGTGTATACCTTTTGATCCAGCAATACCACTACAAGGTTTATATCCTAAAGAGATCATAAAAAAAGAAAAAAACACCTACATGTACAAAAATATTTATAGTAGCCCTTTATGTGGTAGCAAACAGTTAGAAATTGAGGGGATGCCCATCAGTTGGGGAATGGTTGAACAAACTGTGGTAAAAGAATGTAACAGAATACTACTATGTTATAAAAAAAATGATGAGCAGGTAGATTTCAGAAAAACCTGGAAAGACTTACATGAACTTATACAAAGTGAAATGAGCAGAACCAGGAGAACATTGTACACAGTAACAGCAATGTTGTATAATGATCAAGTATGAATAACTTAGCTCTTCTCAGTAATACAATGGTCCAAGACAATTCCAAAGGACTTATGATGGAAAATGTGCACACATCCAGAGAAAGAACTGATAGAGTCTGAATGCAGATTGACACATACTATTTTCACTTTATTTATCTTTGTGGGTTTTTTTTCCATTTTGGTCTCTTTTTTTGCACATGACTTATATGGAAATATGTTTACATGATTACACATATGTAACCTATTTAAAATTCTTGCCTTTTAGGAAGGTGGAGAGGAGGGATGGAGGAAGAGAGGGAGGGAGGGAGAAAAATTTGAAATCAAATAAAAAAATGAATGTTACAAATTGTCCTTACATGTAATTGGAAAAAAATAAAATACTATTTTAAAAATGGAAGATAATTATTATGAGATCCTGAAAAATAAGTTGCCAGATTTTGAGAAAGTCACTTAATGTTTAAGAGGCTCAGTTTCTTCATCTAAAACATGAGAGAGAGCTGGGCTGGATGAGCTCTTAATTTCTTGCCAATTCTAACATTCTGTGATTATAGGCTTCTAAAAATTTTATTTAATCATATTTTCCCCTCCATGATGGGAAATTTGCCAGCAAGTTCTTGTTACCCTTGAGTATGTAAATCTAATTGTGAAATATAACTTTGTAAAATAATTTGGAGAGGGAAGTTATTTGAAAGATTTTTCTAATAGGGAAGTATTTTACCAACAGAGAGCAGTGAATTGGTGAGTCAGTCAACAAACCTTTATTAAGTGCTTACTCTGCTAGGCACTGTGCTAAATCCTGGGGATGCAAAGAAATGTAAATACACACTTTACTTTCAAGGAGCTCACATTCTTATTAGGGAAACAACATGTTCATTTAAGATATTCAGTCATTTTTCAGTCATGTCCGTCCAACTCTTCATGACTTCCTTTGTGGTTTTCTTGGAAAATATACTGGAGTGGTTTGCCATTTCCTTCTCCAGCTCATTTTTACAGATGAGGAAACAGGGCTAAGTGACTTGCCCATGGTCACACAGCTAGGAAGTGTCTGAAGCTGAATTTGATCTCAGGTCTCCCTGACTCCAGGCCTAGCAGTCTATTCACTTTACTTCCTAGCTGCCCTGTTATTTGCTTTCGTACTGGTACCCTAAAGACTTGCAGGGTCTTTTCAACTAACTTGTGCCTGGAACCTCTTGGAGGTGCTGTTTTCCCCATTAGAGTGTACACTCCTTGAGATTAGGGACTATCTTTGCTTTTCTATTTGTATTCTGAATTTTTTAGCACAGTCCTTAGTACTTAGTAAATGCTTGATAATTTTTCCCTCATTTATTCATTCATTCATTCACTCAATCATTCATTCAGCACAGAGTTGTGCTACTATGTGTATTTTTTTTAAAGGAATCTCCCATTTGAAATTCAGTTCAGCACTGAGTGAAACACATATCATTGAGGGGCATCTGCTATTGCTATTGCACTGTTTTGCATGCTATCACTGCAATATGCACGTAAGTTGGTGAATTATTTATGTATAATGTATTTGATTCTGACCTTTTGTACAAAGAGACAGTTTTGGCATATGTTCTATTTCACTTCTCATTTTAAAGACATGACTTTTTTAAAAAAATTGTGGATATGTATGCTCTTTTCTATGTTGTCACTTGTGATCAATCCATTTCTTTTAGGCTTTGGCTCATCTCCACCTGATAGAATATATTGGAGAACAGACAGCTGTGCTAATAAAGGTAACATTGAATGTCAAAGTTTAAAGAGTTTCAACCAAACCATGTGGATGTTTTTGCTGATCTTTCTGTTTTATACAAAAGCTAGGAAGAACCATTTGTATTGATTATACAGTAAGTGATCAAAGGGGATCCATTTTATCAAACTCTCTTAAAAAAACAAGGGCAGCTTTTTTTTTTTTTCAAAGAGAAAGGGTATAATTATATGTCTGCTACAAGTCTTAGGTTGGAAATAATTCTGATTTTGAACAATATCTTATCTGTCCATGTAACTAGGCAACCAGGGATTTGATTTAGATAAACTTGCTGTTATAATTACCCAAACCCAGGACTAATGAACTGATTTTCTGTGTATAGGTTCTCCAAAGGATCGCCATATTGGTGAGACCTGGATAAATAACTGTATGATATTGAGCAAATACTTTAACTTGAGTATCAATTTTCTCTTATGTAAAGTGAGAGAGTGTTATTAAGTAACCTCAAAAGTCCTTTGCCCCCCCAAACTTTTCTAAATCTAGCTTTTGTGTCCTGTTTGATGGGGTAGGTGGGGGAATACCTCAATGAACTGACATGATTATTTAGTATTCCCCTCTCCAGGAAGCTGGAGTAGCCCCAGTTTCCTAATAGTTTAGGAAGGGTGAGAAGGGCTGTTGAGATTACTCCTTTCTGGAAATATAGAATTACATCCTGTGAGTATTGGACTAGGGCATGGGTCACCAAATTATGGCCCAAGTGCCAATTCTGCCTATTTTGTATGACCTGCTAGTTTACAATATTTTTTTTACAATTTAAAATCCAATGAAACTTAAATAAAAACATTGTTAGCTCATAACCACATTAAAAAAAAAGGACTGGGCCAGATTTGACCCTTAAGCCATAGTTTGTTGACCCCTGAACTAGGGTACAGAGACTTTTGCATCTAGTTGTCAAACTCCAATAACACTGATTCCCAGGGTCCTGTTATTTCTGACATATGTATGACTGAAAAAAATTATGGAAGGACCCAGAAGGCATTCTCAAGGATAGAGCTTTTGCTGCCTTCATGCATGAGTCAGACATCATTGACTAGTCCCAAGATTAGATAATATTTGTGCAGCTTACAGAACAGCCCAATATACAAAACTACTTAAGGAACACAGACGTAGAAAGGTGACCCCAAAACCTCAGACATTTAGAGCTAAACTTTTCTGTGACAGAGATCTTTCATCTTCAGTCTCAGTTCCTCTCCCTCTGTCTCTTCTCTCTGTCTCTTCCCCCTTCTCCCTTTGCATCTTCTCTCCCTCATGTCTCTTCCCCCACTCCATTCCCCCATATTACCCTCACTCTCCCCCAAACCTTCCCCTTCAGAGTCCATAGCTGATGTTTAAGTGCCCCTCTACAACTAGACTATAGTCAGTTTTCCTAATCCCCACTCCTGGGATTTAGGCTCTTTGTTTTTGTGTGCTGGTTATAGGCAATCTTGGAGTAGGAGAGGAACTAACACCCTCATTATGGCTATTGTCAACAGATGTTGCCTTCTTGCCCTTGGTAGATGGACTGTTCTGCCTCTCTGATTGTGTTAGTGCTATTCTTGATTCTACAACTAACAACTAATTGTGCAACTTTGGGAAAAAAATCACTTTCTTGGGTTCCTCATCTGTAAAATGGATTGAAGGCCTCTACTTATAACCCCCTTTACTCCTAATGTTCTATAAGTCTAAAGTTTGAATATATGCAATTGGAAAATGAAGGTTATATATTTCCTTTTTAAATGAAATGTTGCTATGACTTTTCCTTGTTAGATGGTTCCAGAAGATCAGCGCCTCGCTGCTGCCATCATCTTAGTTGTCTGGATCTCAGCTCTGGCTTCTTCCTTGATTGATAACATTCCATTCACAGCTACCATGGTAAGTCTTAGCATTGGAATGGTAGATTTTTAGGTCCTTCCCTGCTCTGGTACATATATGGAGAGGTACCTCTCTTGTTGCCTGGGCAGGTGTCAGGAAGCAGTTATTTCAATTGATTACAGTAGTAAGGCCCTTACGGTAGTAAGGGCCTGAAGTAAGAATTTGGGTTTCTGTATCGTTTGGAGGATATCAATTGAAGGATTCAAAAACCTTTTCAGATATTAAGAAAAGACCCTTGTCTTTTGCTTTTTGGCAAGAATAAGGTGCCCCTGTTTTTTTGTTTTTGTTTTTGTTTTTGTTTTGTTTTTCTGTTCTTGAAATATTCCATGATTTCCTCCATTTATGTCTGTGCTTATGTTGCCTCCTTTATCATGGATGCCTTCCCACTTTAGCTTCTATCTACTCTCCTAGTATTAGCTTAAATATTACCTGCTCTGTGAGACATCATCTATCTTTCAAACCAGAAATTCCTTCCTCTGAACTAAATTAGCACTTGGTACCTATGTAAGTAGGTATTTGTGGACATTTAGATTATATACTCCCTGAGGTTAAGGAGTATTTATTATTTTCTTTGTATCCATACATGATGCCTTGCACATAGTAGGAGCCTAATCAATATTTATTGAATGGATGTTGGCTTCAATCCAATACATTCTGCTTTTATCTGTCTCCTTTTATGTATCAGCTAGGTTTCTTACTGACTTCCTAGAACCCTTGTAGAGTCCTTGGAAAGTATTGAACAGCTGCCACAGCATGAGCAGACATTAAATAGAACTTAGCAAGGTAAGCCATGGTTCACAAGGTACCATAACTCTCCTAACCACAGAATTTGGCCACCATTCCCAGGATAGAGAATCACTGAGAAGCAGATTTAGTTCTAGGTACTTCATGGGAGCTCAGACTATCTCTGATAGGTGAACTGAGTCTACCTGTGGCTCTAGGGTGTTCTAATTTGATGCTATTGAATTTCCCCCTCCTTTTGAATTTGAATTTGAATAGTCTTTCCTTCCTTTAGATTTCCTGTAATCAAATATATTGTATTGGATTTAGGATTGGCCTTTATCCAGAAAAATTTTTGCAGCAACAAAATAACTGTATTGACAACAACAGTTGTATTGACAATTGTATTGACAATAACTATTTAGAGAGCACTTTAAAATTTATAGAGCATTTTCCTAAAACAGCAACTCTGTGAGGTAGGTATTATATTATTATGCCTATTTTTACAGATAAGGAAACTGAGACTCAGAGAATAATTTATTCAAGATCAAATAATCTGTCAACATTTATTAGGAACCTTGTATGTGCCAGGCACTGTGATAAGTATAGGGGATACAAAGGCAAAAAATAGTGAGTGGTCATTGTCTAAGGGGGAGATAGCAGGTAAAGAGCTATGTACAAGATATCTGCAGGTTAAATTGGGAGTAGTCTCAGATAGAAAGTGCTGAGATTAAGGAGGACTAGAAAAGGCTTCTAGAAGAAGATGGGACTTTTGCAGAGACTTGAAGGAAATCAGGGAAGCCAGAAGATGGAGATGAGAAGAGAGACAGGCATGAAGGACAGCCAGTGAAAATGTTCAGTTGGGGGATGGACTGTCCTGTGCAAGTAACAATAAGGAGGCCAATGTCACTGGATCACACACTGCTTAGAGCCAAGAAAAGTGTTAGAAGAGTAGGAAAGTAGGGCTAGGAAGGGGCTAGGTTATGAAGGGATTTAAAAACCAGAAAGAACGTTTTATGTATAATCCTGGAGGGAGTAACAACTGGAGTTTATTAAATAAGGAGCAATATGGTCAGAGCTTTTCTTTAGAAAGATTACTTTGACAGCTATGTAGTGGATGGACTGGAGTCTTTCCCCAAAGACATGAGGCAGGGAGACCAACTAATAGACTGCTGCAGTGGTCCAGGCTTGAGGTGATAAGGGTCTGCACCCTGGTGGCTGTAGTATCAGAGGAGAGAAGTGGACTCATAGGGAACATGTTATAAAGGTAGAAACAATAAGACTTGACAACTGGTTGAATATGGGGGAGATAGAGAGGAGGAGTTGAGAATGACACCTAGTCTAAATCCAATGTTCTTTCTACTATACAACCTAATCATCTTGAATGCCTGTTCTTCCCTATGCTTTAGTATTAAATAAAACAACTTTCCCATTCCCACCCACACCCCAATAATGGAATTAGAATTCTAACAAAACTGGACATCTTCAGGTGTCATCTAGCGGTCAACATTTTGGTGACGAGTCCCTCTGTACTTAATTAAGCACTTTTATAAGCACTTAGTTGAATCTTTTCTAGCTCGGTAGAAACTGTCAGAGCTTTGGCAGAGCTTTCAAGGACCCACAATCACCTCTGTGGCATCAGTGATAAGAAACTGGAATGGGACTTTTATTGAGGAAGAGTGATAGTGGGGGAGGTGGGTACAGACATAGGAGTCATTTCAAAATCAGCTGTCTGCCTCAAGATCATTGACTGGCTAGAACAAAGAGGGACATCAATACCAAATTAGAAGAAAGGAGAATGAGACTAAGATACAGTGTATAATTACAGAAGTTCCTTTCTGACCTCTTTAAATTGGATGTTGAGTAGCAAAAACTAGAGACGGACAAATTTTTTTTACCATTTCACGGAGGAGTTTATACAAATAGTCATCACAACAAGAAGGCCCCAGAAATTTTCTTTGCCAGGAAATGCTTTACTTTCTTTTGTCAAACAGAGAGATATGGCAGCTAAGAGAAAAGCCATGCTAAATAATTATCCCTTTTGTAAAACATAATAGAGGAAGCTGGTGGAAGGTTATAAACCATACTACTTCATTTAACAGTGAAAAATTGTTGAGAGAGAAATAATCCTATGAAGAACATAGCATGAAATTAGAGTAATCCAGATCATCTCTCGTGAATTCCTAGATGAAATTAGAATGATGGAAACAAATAGATGAAAAGGACAGAAGTATTGGGTTTCTTAAAAATATATCTTATGATCAACAATAGGCAGAAGTACAATGCTGAGATTGTATCAGTTAAGGAGCTGCTATGAGGATGGGGCAAGGATGCCTAAGAAGATGAAGTCGGGGAAGAACAGTTAAACCCAGTCATACAAAAGACATCCAAAAGAAATACACAGCGATGAAATAATTTTAAAGCACCTAAGAAACAATTTTTCAAGATGTCACCAAAGGTGGGAAGATTCCAAAATAATGGAAAAATATTATAAACATCACCATCACTCAACAAGATGATATTCATCACTAACTAGTGACCAAAATCACTACTTTTTTCACCTCTGTAACATCTTGATGACAACATCTTATGAATGCACAGAGGAGATTATGATGAAAAATGATAAGTGAATAGGCAGGCTTTAGTGGTTAATCTTCTGTAGAAGATTACATCCACAAAATGGATTGAGAAATATAGGGAATATTAAATCCTGATGTGTGATTGCTGATTAAAAAAATAAAAAAAAAACTTGACTTGATAAAACAAAATGGAGCCTTAGATCTTAGATCTTCTGAAACAAGGTATTGTTCCACATACATATTAAAACCATATGAGAATTTGTGATCTTTTTTTTTAACCATGGAAATAATGGTTTAAAGATTTACTGTATCAACATCAAATGAGGCATATACAAGACACATTCTTATAAAAACATATTTACCAGTTTCATAGGACACATCCTACAATACAGTCTATCTTCCTGTTGATAGTTATGTGCTCTGAGATGTTTGTAATTGCAAGAAGCACACTGTACTACCATTCAGCACCTAGGAATTTCCAACCTCTCAGTCTCATGAGGTAGCCACCAGGACTGGAAACACATCTCTCAGGGTCACTATTCAGTCACCTGTTCTCAGGGAAAGAAACAAAAAGCAGAAAAATCATCCAAGGACTCGAGATCCAGTCTCAGGTTCACCTAAGCAAGTATGAGTTCTTGCTGCTATATCCATATAGCTGCCATAATTTATGCTTTTTGGGGGTGAGATGGGAAGAAAGATTTCCTCTGCACCCCTGCCACCTTTCTAGAATTCCAAGGGAGAGTTGGCAGAGACTTGAGCAACCCATTTGAAAGAAAGAAACTTTTTCACTCTTTCACCTAGCTTGCTGAAGTGTCAGATCCTCTCAATTCAGTTGCTGATCATCAATGGAGCAGGTAATACAGCTTGGCTATAGCAGCAAGACAGAGGCCCTCAGGAAGAGATAGAGGACAGCATATGTCAGAAGGGGTCATATACTACTATCATCAACATCTTGACCACTATTTTACAGGGAATAATAGTCCAGTGTGGCCAAGAGACCTAGGAACAGTAGTATCCATCAGACTACTAGGTATGTTTCCAGTCTGAAACCACCAATACCAATCTCTGACCAACTTCCAGCAAAGGACAAGAAAGCCCAATAGTCCCAGGAGAAACATGGTCTCCTGACCATTGATTGGCTCTGCTTACAGCTTAGTGCCTCATAGCTATCGTTAAGTACTTGTCCAGCTTTTAGTTCAGTACTTAGCATGTAGTAGGTGCTTTGTAAATGTTTATTGACTAAATGACAAAATAAAGGTAATATGGACATGTATCGTTTCAGTTGAGCAATGATGTTGCTTTTAGAAATGCCACAGTCCCCTTTTCTACTGAAGCAATAGCCATTTCAATTAGTTTTTTTTCAAAGACTAGGGCTCCCAATCTCACCTAGATTTGATATTTAGTAGCTCCTCATTAGTCTGTTTCAATGGCATGGGGTTTTTAACTCACTATTTTCCAACCTGGAATAAGTCATCCTTCCTAGGGGCTCACCATATTAATGTCAAATAGCACAGACACTCAACTGGCTTAGCCCATACTGCAACACAGAATTCCCAAGCTCAAGTGAGCCAGTGCTTTTAAGTCCAGTATGATTCACACCTGGAAAAATTATGGCAATCTTTTGAACGTTGTAATAAATTTTGATGCTTGAAAGATCCTGATAAAAATAAGACATTGGCAACTTCTGGGAAGATATTGATA